AGGTATAGACATAGTTCTGCCGTTGGTTCTCTCTATGTATAATTTAGCTCACAGTTCTGAAAGGCTCTCTGCTCTGTATCAGAACACAGATGATGGCATCACAGTGGCAGAAGCAGTCACAGGGCAAGAAGGGATGTGACAGAGATTTAGAGTCTGCCTTTCTCTTTTGCATAGAGACCCACTCTCGTGAGAACCAACGGCAGAACTATGTCTATACCTCCCAAGGGCTGTCCAGAGTGGACACCTTCTATTAGGCCCAACTTCCCAAAGGCTCGACCAACTCAATACCACTTACCCAGGGAGCTGAGTTTCCAGCACAAGAACCTTTGCAGAAACATTCAAGTAATATTCCAACTATGTAACTCACACATCCAAAGTGAGTCTTGCTCTTCCTTGAAGAAGCTGCTGGTTATCATAAAGTGCAACAGTTTACCAAGGATATTTCCTCACTTTCTTTTTAAAATATGGGATATAGCTTTTTCCCTTTCTTCGGTTCTCCTCTTTGAGTGTTTTGGGTGCTGTCATCCAAGCTGAGTACCCATCACCATGCCTTGGAAAACTGAGGAAATTGAGGGTTTTCTGCTAACAGGCCAGTGGAAGGATGCCAAATCTGTCAAGATTAAGAAGACAAGGATAATGTGAAGTTCAAGGTTAGCTCCAGCAGATACCTTTATAACCTGGTCATCACAGACAAGGAGAAGGCAAAGAACCTGAAGCAGTCCTACCCTGTGGTTTGGCAGTAAAGGAGCTGAAATGAACCAGACCTCTGTATTTGACTATTAAAAAAATCCTGAAAAGTATATATACATATATGAATGATATAGACCATATAAAAGTTACTTTTAAAGTGTACATTGCACTGGAGAGGTGGTACGTTTTTAATATCAACATTTGGAAGGCAGGGGCAGACAGATTTCTGTGAGATAGATAGATAGATAGATAGATAGATAGATAGATAGATAGCACATATTTACAAAATTTTGCAGCCATAAATAAAAATTTTGATTTTCCAAGAAAGTGTTTCACGTAGCCAAGGATGACCTTGAACCTCTAATCCTGCCTGTGGATCCTGAATGCTGGGCTCATAGGTGTGCACCAGAGCCTTTGATTTACATAGTGCTGGGAATCAAACTCATGGCTCCATGCATGCCAGACAAGCATGTTATCAACTATACCCCCAACTCCAAATTCTAAAAGATGTTTATACCAGCCAGCCATGGTGATGTATGCCTTTAACTCCAGCACTCAGGAGGCAGTGGCAGGTGGATCTCTGTGAGTTTGAGATCAGCCTGGTCTACAAATTGAGTCCAGGACAGCCAGGGCTTGTTACACTGAGAAACTCTGACTTGAAAAATCAAAAACCAAACACCAAAAACACCAAAAACAAAAAACCACGCATTCATTGGTCATCACTACTCAGTGCTAGACAACCACTATTTTACTCTCTATGGATTATCTCTTCGGGATTTTTCATGCAAATCAACGAACACAATATTAGCCTTTTTATTTGGGCTTCCTTTCCCCACTGAACACAAAGTTTTAATATTTCATCTCTTTTTAATGGCTGAATAATATTCTACTATGTGGATATACTTTATATAAAGTATTGTATATAAAGTATATTCTACATAAAGTATTTAAATATAAAGTATTTATATAAATAATAACTATAAAGTATTTATATAAAATATATTCTATACTTTAAATAGAATATAAAATACTTTATATAATATATAAAGTATAAAATATTTTATATAGAATATAAAATTCTACTGTGTGGATACACTTTAAATAAAATATATTTTATTTAAGCATGCCTTTAAAATGTTTTAAAATGATATAGAATAATATCCCCTCCTTCCAGCAACCCTCTCCCGACCCTCTCCTATGCTTCCCCTCAAATTGTTACTATTGTTACATATAGCAGACAATAACTGCTTGTAGTTCATCTTTTGTTTTGTTTTTCCAGAAAGGGTTTCTCTGTGTAGTCCTGGCTGCCCTGGAACTAACTCTGTAGACCAGGCTGGCCTTGAACTGCCTCTGATTCCTGAGCTGGGATTAAAGGCACCTGCCATCCCGCCCCCTCCCCCCCCCCCCAGCATGCCTGTAGTTCTTTATCTAGGGGTGTGGCCCAGTGAAAACTTCCCCCTCCATGTTAAGAGGTCCATTGATATCATCCTTGTTCTGGTCTTGTTTATGCAGCCAATCTAGAGAAGACTGTTACGTGATTGCCTACTTAAACTTTCTCTCAAAGATCTATGCCTACTTTTCACCAGTTTTGTAGGGTTCACTCTTTGGGTTTTTGATTCACTGTGAATTAATTACTGTAACCTTGACAACTTGAGTGCCAGGGGACACTAACCTCCCTTACTGTAGGAAACTTACATGTAACTTTTACTCTCACAAACTACTAATAGCCTGCTCTTGACTGCTCTGATCCCAATAGCAATAATTATAATAAATAATTATTTTGTGTATGATATATATTATGTATAGCTAAAAATAATTTAGGCCCACAGGAGGCCATGTCACTTTCACAGAGATGATCAACACAGCATAGTAGGGTACTGCAGATGTTTAACAGAAGCGGCTGTAGCGTGACCACACCGGTGTAACACACTGGTGTATGCAGTTATGATTCAGCACAGCAGCTTTGCATCTGCTCGCATTTTCAAGAGTGAAAGGTGCTGCATGTGGCAGTTTCTAAGTATATGCTAAGCTTAACTTGTTCTAACAGGTTTGTACATATCTTCTGGTAGTAAATGACAAATTAGACCATTAGACCATAAGTTTTATGTGTCTACCTTTAGTGTTATTTTCCTTAGGTGCATAGGCTAGAAAAACTTCATAGGCTGTTTCTGTGAGGTTTTCAAATTGTTGCAAACTTTCGAAAAAGGAAAAGAAAAATCTATGTTAAGTGGACCTATGCAGATGAAGCCCATGTTATTTGAGAGTCAACTGCATTTGGTGTAAGCAGAGGCCAAGTCTTCATGTGTTTGTATGTGGGGATCAGCCCAGCATCCTATAACATTTACTGAAAGGATCATTTTTCCTCCATCATATTTTCTTGGTATCACTCTCAAAATTAATTGCTAAACATATGGGTTTATTTCTAATTCTGTTTGATTTCATAAGCATAGATTCTAGTATTCCTGTAGTATTGTATCCTTCTGACTCTTAGAACTCTAGTCAGTCTAGAAATCAGGTAGTGAGTCCAACTTCATTCTCTTCTTCCTAAAGAGTGTCTTACTTAGGAACTATAAGACCAGCTTACCAGTTTTGCTCCAAAACAAGCAGGTTGTCGTTAGACACAGGCATGTCTTGCATGTGTACGTCAGCCGGGGAGTGCTTTGAGCTTTGGGTGTCTTCCATTCAGCTCACTGTTTCTTTGACAGTGTTTTGTGCTTCTAAGTGTTCCTGTGATACTTAAAGCTGAATTTATTTCTAAGTATTTGGCTTATTTCTGGTGACTTAGAAATGAAATTATTTTCTGAATTTTACCTTCACATCCTATGTCATTGCTTTTTATATGATAGCATATCTCAAATGAGCTCTAATAGGGATTTTAGTGTTCATCAATATTTTCTACACACAAGACCAAGTCATCTGTCAATACAGATAGTCACTTCTTTCCTTTTTTTAAAACCATAATTTATTTCACAACTTTTCCATGGCGCTGGGGATTAAATTCAGGAGTCCTTGCATGGTAGGCAAGTACTGTACCACTGAGCTATATCTCTAGCCATCACTTCCTTTCTAATATGGATGCTTTTATCTGTCTTTGTCTTTCCTACCCTCCTGCACAAGGCCAAACAGAAGTGATGAGAGTGGCCATCCTTGTCTTGTTCCTGATCTTAGATGGAAAACTTGAAGGTGTGGGGTTGTAGGCTTTCTTCATCATATGGAAAGAGTTACTCATGTCCCAAGTTGGCTGAATATTTGATGCCATTGGGCTTTTTGTTTGTTTTGTTGGTTTTTGTTGTTTTCAGGAGTGAGGTTCAAGCAAGCTAGAGAAGTGCTCTATCATTGTTCATACCTCCAAGTCCTGTTGTTTTCTTAATCATGAAAAGATGCTAGATTTTGTCAATGCCTTCTCTACATCTTTTGAGATGACCACATGATCTTAATCCCTTACTTTGTTAGCAAATATGTCATCTTATTACCATATCTTGAACATATCTTGCATTCTTACGATAAGTTCTTCTTGGCCATAGCAAGATTTATATGATGCTGGATTCAGTTTGAACCTAACTCATTTTGAGTCAATCCCTACTATGTAGTTGAGAATTCATATGGACTTAGTGATGCCCTTGATAGTTTCTGTAAAGGGCAGGCAGCTTTCTGGTTGTTTCCTTGAGTTACTGTGCTGTCTCATTCCTTCTAGTTCTGCTTCCATAGCCATGCAGGGACATGAAATCACACCTCACCTGTTGCTTTTACTGCACTAAAACAGGATATTATTTAGCTTTATCACCCATCACATCATCAGCTTCAAACAGATTTTTAACTTTCTTAATATTACTGAGAAACCACAGTCAAAACACAATGCTAAGTGCACAGGCTACAAGAATTTTCCTTTATCCCAACCTTATTTAAATCTTACTGCTGTCATGCTTATTTCTCAAAGACAGACAATAAGGAAATAGGGTAAAGTAGCTTGCCACCGAGTTCCTGGTGAGAGGAATCGAATTAAAAAGCCAAGCCCATAGCACTAATAATTACATTTAGTATTTATGTTTTTTGAAAAGGATGTTTTCTGTACTTAAGACAATCTCATAAGTGAGCCAAATATTTTGAAAAATGTCAACGTACCTTTTTTCTAAAGTTATGTATGGTTTATACAAAAGACAATTAAATTCTATTTCTTTCTTTTTTTAATTTTCAAAGACAAATAGCAGTAGCATCCTCTTTGAAGGTTTGCTTCTTGGATGACAAATGTAAAGTGCTTTGTCCTGGGTACGTGTTGGTGTGCTGATTCTTTCTGCTCTCAGTTGTTTAGTGGGCAAACGAAGGCTGAGTTTCTTCTCTGCTGCATATCAAAGGCACATACTGCACACGGCAAACATGAAAATGTGTTACACAGTAGAGAAAGCTACACAAGGTGCTATACAAGGTACTATAGATATTTATTCACATCCACTATGTGTGAGATTCTACCCAAATGGGAGGAGCCAAGTGAGAGTGATGCTGTCTGGGCTGGCTCCACATTCCCAGAGCCCAGACTTGAATTGAGGTGCACCACATTCTCATTAGGTCATCTTGGGCAGGTTTCTTACTTTATGCTTTAAATTTTCCAACTACTGTGTAAGAGATAATAATAGCTATTATATAAAAATGAAGTAACTTCTATGACACTCTCATCATAGTGTCTAACACAGTGTCAGCACTATTCATTTATTTTAATTTATATTTATTAATATTAATAAAAATGAGCTGAGGTAGCTTCTAGGCCAATTATGGTGTCATAAAGAATATTAACAGGAAGCAAAGTTTTCTGTGCATCTTGAGTACAACTACACAAATTGGGCTTTAAGAACCAGGAGTCATGGGGCTGAAACTCAAGTCATGGAATATTTCTTTAGCATGTAGGAGGTCCTGGATCCTATCTCTAGTACCATTTTGAAAAAGTCAGAAAACAGCTGAGTAGGAAGGTAACAGCTGAGGAATGGAGTTATTTAAAGGCGATCAGGGAAATAGGGCTGACCCAAATGAGTAGTATGGACAAAGCAGAGGAAAGTCCAGGGGTTGGGGGAGTCAGATTCATCCCAGGTATGATTCAAGGGAAGGAACATTGAAAAGGACAATGGGGAGGAGACTCAGTGTGCATTGATCTTCGGTTAGAACCTTATACTTCACGTGGTATGTGTGAGAATAGTGTGAATTTTAAATGGCAACTGATCATTTGCTGCTGTTTTGCAGGTTTAGGATCCAAAATCAGTTTGACTTAAAAAGCATTTTAAGATCGTGGGGTATCACTGATCTTTTTGACCCACTCAAAGCTAACTTGAAAGGAATTTCAGGTAATAATCTTTCAATTCTTCCCATCTTTGCGGGATATTATGTTTGGGAGTTTTGCCATACTCTGATTACGGGATCTTTACTGTTTCATAGAGTTTTTGACAGAAAACACTGCAAAAAAGAACAAAGGGGTTAGCTTTGTGTAAGAATGTAGAGCTGCTAAGTCATATTTTGATTAGAACTGGTGGGTGCGGGGTGCTCCTTGAGGATATTAAGCACGATTTTTGGAATGACTTCACAGTGAGTCAAGTGGCTGTAGGATGCAATAAAGAGCCCTCCCTCTGCCATGATCAGACTCTCATGGAGACTGTAGGCAGCACCAGAACTTTCATTATGCCCTCTGCTGTCATGCCAGCATCATGGCCATCCCATTTCTATCCTTTTCTTTCCTGGTTGCCTCCTGCCTTTTGTAATGGACTAAACACACACCTTTCCTTTGCCCATTCCTCAGATTCCCCATGCTTTCATGACATTGCCCTAAGATGCTCTTGTTCCTGGCATCCATGCTCCATTATTTTCCATAATAAACATGCTACTGCTGATCAATAATAGGAGCCATGTTGGCCTGTAATCTGAGCTTTCATCGCACACCAAAAGGAAAAGGAATGCTAACATCTACTTTGGGGATTCCTTGAGGGAACCACTGGCTCAACTTCTGCCAAGTTAGGAGCCCTTCAATTGTTTCTACTCTGCAGATTATCTGTAAGGACAGAACACTGCAGCAGACATTCTCACTGGTCTTGAGACTGATGAACTTGAAAGTTACCATTTTAAACATCAGACCACTAGAACATATGGTACTAAAACCTTGGTCAGAATCTTCCCTCTTAATCACAGAAAATAACAGGAGTTTGATCTTTAAGTCCTGGCTTGTGCTTGTGAGCAAACAGAACCACCCCAAGTTACTTATTAAATAAAGCATAACAGGGAGTATCTAATCAGAGTACTAACAATTTGCTATCTTGGGGCTGTGGGACTTCATAGTAGAGTGCTTGCCAAGTATGCAGAAAGTCCTGGGTTCCATCTCCAACATCACCCTCTACCACCAAAAACCTATCTACCACTTCTTTACTTATTGTCTAAATGTACAGAGATAGGTAAGACAATAGTCAAGTTTTGGCAGTGTCCACAATACTTGGAATACGATTAAACACAAGGCAAAACTGGTGGCTTAGTTGGAAATTTTCCTTATTGACAGGCATGCTTTTACACTGCAGGAAAGGAACAGTAGAACAAACAGCAAAATGATGAGAAGCAGAGAAGGAGCAGGGGACAGCCAAGTTACCCCATTCTACTTTCAATAACGGGAAGTGTTCTCAAGGCTTCAGAGTTCAGCTAATTAGCTGTGGCTAATGGCAATTCTATTACTCTTTTAGTCATGCAAATTAAAAATATTAGGGTGCTGGATTCAGTAACCAGTTACAGAAGGAGGGAAAAAATCAACTTTGAAGCTATTCTTGGTCATGCCATTGTATTTAATGCTTTACGGTTCCTCCTTTGTAATTCCCTACCTCACCCCTCCAACCCCCACTCACAGAATCTGAGAAAAACACACTCAAATGTCAATCTTGTGTCATTAAACAGTAGTGGTCTTCATCTGTATCTTGTAGAATCAACTATAAGCAAAAATACTTATGGCAAATAATGTGAGTTATCTACTGTTTTTGAGAGAATCTCTCACTGGCATTGGGTTACACTACCTAGGGCATTAAGCTATGGAACTTCCCTGACTTTCTCCCTTACCCTACACCTCAAGTGCTCTATAAGCATGCACCTTGTACCTTGATTTTTTACATAGGTTTAAGGTTTAACCAAACTTGAGTGCTCATACCAACTGAGCTATCACCCCAACATATCAAGTCTTAGGAATATCATCTACATGGTTCACATATAATGCAATTCATTTACTTATGTTTGTTCAAACCAACATAATCATAGGCTCACATCAGCACCCCTTAATAATCCAGTCATGTGCTAATGTGGAGCTTACATTCATGATTATTGATGCAACTTAATGATCTTCTTCTACTGTTTTGCTCCTATAGAAGTCAACAAATAATGACCTGTCACCTTTTATTAAATAAACAGCTACTTACATTTATTAAAAATAATCTAAGGCTGTTTTTTGCTACAGTAGTAAAACTAAGTCACTGAGACGGACATCATGGGATGGGTGATAACTAAAATTAATATTTCTATAGATGGCTTGACAACTAATTCTTTCCAGTGGCAAGACCACAAATGCCTGTACCCAAGTAGACTTCTGCCTACTCTAAAGACAGAATCATTGAATAGAGTCATCATTCCTAAAGTGGAGAGCCATCACTCAACTTACCAACTGTATGACACAGCATATTTGTTTAAAAACTTACTTGTATGTGCATGCTGGAGTGGGGGGCGCATGAACACAGCACACATGTGGCGGTGAAAGAAACTCTTGGGAAGTCAGTTCCTCCTTCTACTTTTAGGTGGATTCCAAGGATTGAACTAAGGTCATCAGATTCGTGAGGCAAGCTACATTACCTACTGAACCATCTCACCATCCCATCTGCAGAAGTGTTTGGGGTTTTTTTTTTTTTAATTAGAGAAATGATCTATAAACAAAGCCACTCTCTCTTCAATGAACAAGGGGTTACCAAGTTTTACACTATTGAGAAAACCTAACAAAACCTTTCTTCCAATTCAGTTCCAAAGCCAGAATCACAATTCTCCTGCCCCAGCTACAAAGCATGTCTGCTCCTTCTTGGCATCATTTTATTTAAGAAGTCAGTATTTCAAAGCTCAACTGGGCCCACATGTAGCTCTCCCTCCCTCTTGACACTCTTATTCCTACAGAATACAAAGTTAGTGAATTGTTCCAATCTCTATCACACTGAAGAGAACAGGTAGGCACCTGTTCTGGACAATCCCCTTCCTTAAGGACCACCAGCAAGCTTTGACATAAACTTATGCCTCCAGTTAAGGTGTTGTGAATAAAACCAACACTTTTTGAAAACTATCCTAGTCTTTGCTTTCATATAGAAACTATCTTAGTTTTTGCTTTTATAAGTGGTAGTCAGCTTCAATACCTGCCCATAGTGCAAGCTATATGCTATATGGCCTGAATAAACCAACTTTCTAGAGTGCATGAACTAACTTGAGCCACAATAAGTCAACACTGCACAGAAAGATGTAAGAAGTAGGGGAAGGGTGGAGAAAGCAACCAACTACAGCTAGTTTGTGAGTTAATACTTTTTATATCCTGGGCTAGCTGCAATAATATATTACACACCACTTTTCATTTTTTAGCTAAGTGAAAAGATGAAGATAAACAACTAGTTCTTCCCAAAGGAAATCATCATTATTAAAGAGACAAAAAAAGACTGATTTCCAATCTGTCCTCATGAGGAGCTGAGGTCCAAATGCAGATAATGAGTTACAAATGTGTGGCCAATAGTATTTAAAAGAATGATAGCATCTACCAACCAATGAGGTGGGAATTAAATCCTTGCTTAAAGAACTTCATGTGCTTAATCCTTTTGGATGTACACATCAGCCATTTCTTTGACACATGTATGCACCAAGCATTATTCTGAAAGTTGGGCATAGTAGTAAAGTGAATATGCCATAATTTCTACTTGCTATAGCTAACAGTCTAGGAGGGGAAAGGTAATCCCCATAGGAGGTGCCAGGGAAAAGGAATGGATAGTATGCTGGTAAAAAGGCATTAGAATTCCATATATGCTGACACAAACATGTAATATAGGCAAATATGTTTATAATTGACTATGATGTGCCTTCCAGAAAGTTCAGTTAGTAAACTGAGATTAAAAGGAGGTAGGAGTGGCTTCAGGGTTGAGAGCTATGTACTGCAGTCCTGCTGGAGCTACTCACAGCAAACATTAGCAAATCAGCAGCTCCAACAAAGTTTCCTAGACACAACATAAAATCCACTAACCTGCACCTCCCACATTTAACTAATTAAAGAGCCTGTCTACAGAACAGTATCTATAAAGGATACTGATGGCAAATTTGGGGGAGACAGGTTGTATAACCTTTTACAATGCCAACAATTCAGAAAAGCAAAGGGCAGGAAGAGCCTCACCTTTTCCTGGTTATTTCCTTAGTGGCATAATATTTCAATAGCCACATAACAAAAATAGGCCAACTAGCCAGAGTACAAGATAAAGGAAGAACACAGGCTAGTCTACAAAAATGTCAAGTCTTACCAAAGACAAAGCTTTCAGAGATGTGACAGTTGGTGGCATACTGGCTATGAGTAGTCTAAGAGTTATGCAGACATAGACAATTACTGGACCATCTTAGAAGGATGGGAAGGATACTTAAGCAATTCACATGCCTTACTTACAAAGACACTGAAACAGCCCAACGTAGCCTACTGAAGATGCATTTGTATCAGTCTATCTCACTTCTTACAATGATCCAGATACAGGATTTCCTGTATGTTAGTTGACCAGGGGTTTCAGAGTAAAGCTGTACTCATTTAATCATATGGAAATGTTCAGACAGTGTAAAGGTAATGAAGTCACAGACAGTAAAACTCGACTGGCAAACACACTCTTTAAAAAAAAATCCATTTTAATTTTTGCACTCTTTGCTCAATGGACTAGAAGGAGCTAATCATTAATAGAGAATTTTGTTTCTTTCCTCAAAGACAAGCAGAGAAAGACCACTGTTAAACTAATCTAATTCTCCACTAGTACCAAGTGAATGTCGACTGAGTTCTTCCTGGCTCTTGTCCATCCTCTACTGCCAGCGAAAAGTGGGACAACGGTTTCCTGATATCCCATTGTTTCAGTATCCTAGGCTGAATTCTAGTCTTACATGACTGTCAGGGGCCATCTCCTTGCATGTGCATGACTAGGCAGTCCAATATAACAAGCAAAGCTCCCTAAAGCACATCAAAATGGCTGCTAATATGCAGGTCTCTCTGATGGTGTGCTACAGCTGACTAGAGGGAAGTTTCTTAAATGGAGGGCTGGGTAGAAATGGGCTCTGAGTCAAACAAGGATATTCTCAGTTCAGATGGGGTGTGTGTGATACCAGATGATTTAGCAATCCCTCTGAAACAGATGGGCTGAGCAGTTTCAAATCTTAGTTCTACTCGCTGATGTTCACCTTTTATTGCAACACATGCCATTTCATCTGTGGAGAACTGTTCAATGACAGAAATCTGTCAAGCTTTCTAAGTTCTCAATCCTATTTGCTAAACTTGTCTTTGAAACTGTCAGCATACACATCTAGCTATGATCTCACATTTCTCTTCAGGTTCCAGCCCTTAAGGTGCGCTAACTAGCCAACCAGCACAACCAGCTCCACAGAATGTAGTCATGAACAGCAGGCACTTTAACATTGGATTATCCTCAGAATACTAACCCATGACTTATCAGTGTCTCCTACACACTGCAACCCAAGACAGTCGGGGAATTATCTCAAAAGCTCATTGAAATTATTCCTGGGTTATACTTTGTATAACCCTTGGGAACCTAATGCCTCACCTAAGTTTTAGAAATATAGACTAAAGATTTTAATATTAATATTTAAAATTATGCAATATTCAGTATCTTAATTTGGGGGAGGTCTTACTAAACTTAGTGAACAAAGCCTTTGAGTTGTAGAAAAATAAAACTTGGTAATTTTCTGTACAATTACTCCCTGTATACTTATAGCACTGAATGCTCTGTAAGTTTTACTCGAGTCTTCAAACATACACTATGTGTACAGAAAATGTAAACAAATCACTTTCTGTTTCTGTCACTTGTGAATTAGGCCAAGATGGCTTTTATGTTTCTGAAGTAACCCACAAGGCCAAGATGGAGCTTTCAGAGGAGGGCACCAAGTCATCTGCAGCCACAGGTAAAAGAGCTTAGCCCCATGGAGCTGCTCACCGAGATGTACCCTTGTTGTATCTGCTCGGTGACTCTTTAGTTATAAACCATATCACTTAAGCCCAAGCCCCGGTGTGATACAGCATTTTTAAAGAAAGAAATGAGAGAAAACAAAATCTTATGAAAATCAATGATACTAATGTTTAACAAAGTATCACTGCCCAATCAACAAGAAATGGAATCAGGACAGTATCCCACCTTCAAGAAGGGAGCTATGTCATGGAATACTATTTAAAAAAAAAAAAAAGACACAGGAATGATTAAGTAGTATCTTTCCTCTTTAATTTCCCCATTTGCACTCCCATAATACTACACAGTAAAATGTCATTAAGATGCTAAAAGACAAATCAAGGTCTGCACCTAGGTTATCCACATCTGCATAGTACTTTTCAATGCTGACAGGGCCTGTTCTTTCTCACAGCTGTGCTGCTGCTGAGGAGGTCTCGGACTCCTGCTTTTAAAGCAGATCGGCCCTTCATTTTTCTTCTGAGAGAACACAGCACAGGTACTGATTTAAAAAAAAATGGATTCAGACATTTATGTCCAGCTCTCTAGCAATTTCAGTTTACCTATCCTTTATAATCTCAAATAAAGGGGAATTACTCCATAGTACAAAGGAAACTTCCTCCATGTCTTTTATTTCTATATTCTGTTTATTTGTAGCTAATGCTGATTCTTTTTAGTTCAGTAGACTTCTGCTTCTAGAGAGATTTAAAAAGTCATGAAAAACACTTCAATCAAATCTTGCTTTTCTTGCTGCTGTCCTATTATTTTAGAAAAGATGGTTTCTTCAGGCCAAGATGATCAGAGACCCAGACTCGTATTTTAGTGATCTTTCTCAAAAGTCAATAATTAGTACTTGTAGTACTTTTCTATACTACAGAGCAATCTCAATGCAAAGATGGCCGACACAGGTTAGCCTAGCTAGCACAATAGAAGAAACAGATGTCTCTACGAATTCAGCAATATTGAAAATAGTCCGTGAATTCTTTTCTTTCCTTAGTCTCCCTGTAACAATTACTGGCCTCAAAAGGAAGAGATTCTCAGTAAAGAGTTGTTGGCAATTCTTAGTAGTGTTCAAACAATAGTATGGAAAAAGATTTTAAAAAATCAAGCCAAGGTGGACCTACTTTAACTAAACATCAGGTATCACTTTTATTTGTGGAAAGAATATTGAAAGTTAGAATGAAAATTAGCATAGTTTAACACAGATTGTTAAAAGAAAAATACTGTCAACATCATTTTATCTGAGAATCATTTGTATAGTCATATTTGTGCTAGAAATCAAAAGAACATTTTGTGACAAAAGGATGTGACAAAAGGATTCTCTGGAAACTGATCTAGTTGGGGATTATTTGAGGACTGGGAGTTCATAACAATGTCCACTTAGTATTTCACCATGATTATCCCAACCCCACAGTGACTGTGACTAGACAAAAACAGCACTGATCACTAAGAGTAGACAGCAGAGAGTCTGTAAAAAAAAAAATTGTAACACAAAAAGCAAGTTTTAAATTAAACTCTCAAAGCTAAAAGCTCATGTCCAGTAAAGGGGACAGTTAGAAAACAAATAACAGATTCTTGAATTCAACTGTATAAAAACCATGTAAAGCTGTTAGACTAGAAAGACACACCACACTTTCAATAATAGAATTTTTACCACTCTAGTATCAGAATGAAAATACATGTCTAATCAAAAATCAGTTCCCTAACTCACCACAGATCTTTGTCCCTGTCCTCGAGGTTTTTCTTTTCTGGACAGTGGTTGTTCACATTACCCAAGGCAAAGTGGATAATTTTCTGATCATATTACTGAAGGGATTTTTAAGTTTCAGCTGGGGCTAGAAGACAGCCATGGTTAAGAACATTTGCTTTACTTGTAAAAGATCCAGGCTTGGTTCCCAGCACCTACATGGCAACTCCTAAGAGTCTGTATCTCTAGTTCCAGAGGATCTCACACCCTCTTCTCTTCTGGCTTCTACAAGCACGAGGCACACATGTACTGCACTTACATACATGTAGGCAAAACACTTAAAATAAAAATAACCTTTAAAAAAAGTCTTGGCCTTCACTGTTAAAAGCTTACCAGTCTTATACTGATATAATGAATCAATTAACAAATGGGACACATAGGGAAACATTAAAAAAATTATCTAAAAACTCTAACATTAACCTTTTGGAGAGTACTTGTCCTGCACAGCATCATTCCATGATCTCAAAGAATAAAATACCCATCCCCAAGTATATGCTCCCTTGTCTGTGCTAACAAGGATTTTGTAGAAACTTTACTCATTTAACTAACTTGCCTAACACTTTTTTGAAAGGCAAAAGCCTAAGATGGATGGAATCTTAAGCTTTAGTTTTTGATAGGCTGCAAATTTTCAGACTAAGTTTTAATATCTAATATTAAAGATGTAAAGAGTATTATGCCAGACAGAGAAACAGAAGGAGCGGGGAGAAGGAGAAGGCAGACACAAAAGATCCTGTTATTTTACACTCCTTGGGGGTTCATTTTGGAAACTGTAGTAAAGGCAGCGGATCTGAGCATTATTCAACCATGCCTATGACATGAGGACCCTTCCAAGGACAACCCAGCCATGTGCTTAATATAATTCCTATCTAAATGACTTCAGTGTTCCCACTGATCTCACTCTTAATGAATCTTAATACACATAATTCATAACCACAAAGTTAATCTGAATTTTGTATAGTTTCTGCTGAATTAGCAGTGTGATTACAGGCAATTATTTTAATAATTCCATCTCTAAATTATATCTTCATTTATTTCCAGGAATTTTGAAGAGGTAAGGAATGTTTAATGAATTGTTTTATGAAAATACCACAAGTCACATTAAATGTTTCTTCTTTCTTTACAGGGTTTGTCTTCAGTATTGGGAGAGTTTCAAATCCCCTTGACTAAAATAGCAGACCTCAAGAATGTTTTCTCTATGTATGCTTTTCTTCATAAATATTTACAATTTCTTTTAAGGGTATGTGATTTTCAAATATTATTAATCTAAAAATAATTCAATTAAAAAAATAATTTGAAAGTTTTTTTTTAACCTTGGTTATTCCAAATCTAAAAATTCTAACCTTTTCTACTGGTTCCCTCCAAACACTAAAAGGCACAACAGTGATCTATGACTATGTGCATGAGTCAGGCAGGACACAGGGTCACATCCTTAGTAAAGATGTGCAGCCCTGTAAGAATGGAAGTGCCAGATATCCTGTGCATCCTGTGCAAATAACAGGGAAAGAAAATGGAGTAGAGTCGTCTTAAGTCTGTTTCCTCTCCAGTTAGCTTCTAAATAAGTATGAGAGTCAGAGAGCAGACTAAGAGATCCCCTCTGAATCATCATATTATAAACTCAAGTAAGCACGGCATGAGACCAAATTACGGCATACTAGGCATCTCCAAATATGATATACCCTAAAGCTACCACATCCTAACTAATGGCTAGACTTGAATGCCATCTAAATCCTGTAAGAAGGATTGAAAGGTGTTAAGAAACTAATAATGCCAACTCATCTACTTTTAAAATTGTTCTAAAAATTGCCCATCTGTCTATCTGCCACAGACAAAGGTATTACCATTCTCCGGGCAAGAGTGGAGTATATTGGCATTGCCAACAAAAACTAAGAACATATAGTTAAAAAGACAATGCAGGCTATGTAACACAAAATTACATTAGTTTAACAAATATTAAGTTGTGTATTTTTTTAATGCTAAAAAGCAAGGCTTTTAAAATTCCATTGTTTTAGAATGTTTTTAAGTAGTTACTTTAAATGTGATTATTTCCTAAACCACACAAGAGTAAAATAGAGCATTTATTGATGGAATAACAAAAGTGCTTTTCTTAAATATTCTTCAAAATACATTTGTACAACTTACAATAATATATCCAAAATAACTGTATATACAAAACATTACCTAGTTTTTAATGTATGTGCTTTTTTTTTCCCCAAAAATTACAAAGTAACCTGTTTTTAATTTTTTTTCTTTTTTTGGCAAAGTTCAACCTTAACAGAGGTGACAATTTTAAAGGTTGGTTTAAGAAAATATAACCTGAGGGAAACTGACACGCAAGAGCCAATGACAAGCAGATGATTTGAAGAACAGTTTTAGTTTGTTTAAAGAAAGAAAGAAAGAAAGAAAGAAAGAAAGAAAGAAAGAAAGAAAGAAAGAAAGAAAGAAAGAAAGA